GAACAATTACAGTGTGACAGTGTAAGTGTCAGGTCACAGCGTCAGCAGCAATAGATGCCTGGGAAGTATTTAAAAGAAAGAAATGTAACTGAGAAATGCATTGTTTCTCTTGGTCCTGACCCAGGCAAAATTACATCATACCCTATGGCTGTCAAGAAGCCTGATGGGACAAATGCTGCTATCTGCAAACCAATTAAAATGGGAAATAATTGCGGGACATTCAGCAGAGGGACTTGAGGTCTTTTTGAAGGTGTTACTAGCAGGAATTTGGGAAGTGAGGCATACAGAAGACAGGGTGCCCAGGTGCAGTCTGCAGAGTGGAGCCCCATGGGACTGGGTGTGCTGTTCCTTACCCCCCTGCACTTGCACTGCAGCTCTGACTAAGAGCAGGACTCTGCTCAGCTCTGCCATTCCCAATCCTCCTCCTCTCTCCCCAATGTGTTTCTAATCCATCCACATCTCCCCAGCTGCATCTCACCCCCATGACTCACGTAACAAAGTTACTGTACCCTGGCCTCAGCTCAACATATTTCTTTGATAATTACAATTTCTGAGCATGGAATAACAGAGCATCTCTATGGATGGGAGTTCACAGCTGGTTTGTGTAAGGAATTGCCTAATCATTGTGCTTCAATTCTGAAAAGACCACAAAAGGAGATGAGGACACACACACTCCTCACCTTGAGTTGTGGCAAGAAGAGAAAAACCAACCTTCAACACGTTGGTCTATCTGTCTCCAAAGACATTGAATGCTGTAATTGCAGACAGCTATTTCTTTAAGTAATTAGCAAGAGCCAGCTTGGCTGGTCTGTATCTGAAGTAAGATATGGAGGGGCAAGGAGAGAAGAAAGGAACCTGCTCACAAATCGTCCCATCTGTCCAAGACTCAGAGTGAACAGAATACAGTAGCACAGGACAGGAAGCAGACCTCAGAATCCTCTCTGGGAGTAGCAAAAAGAGGCCTTTAAAGCTAAGGTGCACTCAGGACAATGGCCATCCCCACAGGAATTAACCTCTGACACTCTGGCACACCCAGGACATTGCTGGAGATGAAGGAAGCCCCCCGAGGCTGGCGTTCCTCTTGCACTGGTGTAGGCAAGAACAAGCCCCGGCAGGTGTCAGCGGAGCTGCGCTGGGGCAGAGCCCGGGGGAAGGCTCTGCTCCAGGGTCCAGGCACAGGCAGGAGATGCAGCCCTTCACCCGTGCCCGGGCGTTCCCAAATCCTGGTTCTCATTAACTCCCTGCAGCAGTTTCGCCTGTTACTGGACGGCAGAATGGAGCTTGTCCAGATCCACTCCAAAGACAAAATCAGAAATCAAATGTCACAAAGCTGAAGCAAAAAGCTGTCCAAGTGTTTGCACCTCAAGGTCTTCACCTCCACAGCTGTGGGCTAGTGCCAACCTTGCCCTGAAGAGCCTCTGTAAGATGTTAAGAAAATAAACCTCCAAGTGGTGTGGAGCAAGTCAATGAGCACAGCAGTAAAAGGCAAAGCATCGATGCTCAGCAAAGGAATTTGCTTTCTCCTCTCACAGCTTTAGGCACACTGGTGACCCAGAAGAGATGGTGGCATGGTGAAGAGATGCCTAACAATGGACATGCACAGCTTGTCTTAAAGTAGATGCCTAATGTAGGTCATCTATAGGTGCCTGTTTTTAACCCTTCCATTTAAAGGGCTTGGCATATATAGTTCAGTGCCTTAGAACTACCAAATGTTACTGTCCCCAAAACAACAAAGGGTCAGACCTTTAGGTCTCTGCACCACTAAGCCCAAGACACCGAGGCCCATTTACACCCAGGAGTCCACCCAGTTCTGACCTGGCTTGTTTAGCAGTCCATGTGTGAGTTAGACAAAGGTCTAGGAGCTGGTCCTTAAACAGTTAATGTAGTAGCACCAAGGGCAAAGACAGGAGCTTCTTCTGCTGCAGGGCACAGCAGGTCCCCTAGTAAGCACAGGACCGAGAACATCTCCACATGTATCTTCAGGCTGGGAAAATCCTCCCCGGGAAAGCATGCTGCTCAGGAGCTGCCTGGCAGGACACAGCCTGCTTTGTTCTGCAGCAGGGTATCCTCCAGCTCCCTTCCTATTGTGCTTTCCCCCTCCTTAGTTTCCTGTGATAATTACTGATGCATTTTCCACACCAGCTGAAACAACAAAGTAAGATACTGTACCATTTTAATCTGCTGAAATTAGTTAATGTCCAGCCAAAATCAAGCTTTGCCTGCTTCTCACAGCACATGGAAATGTGCCTGCAGAATGGGCCACGTTTGCACATGATTGATTTCTAACTCTCCCAAATGTTTGAAGCTTTGTGGTGCTGGAGTCAGCATGTCTCCAGCCTCAGCTGACATCTGGGAGCAGTGTTCCTTCAGGCTGAGACCTGCCTCCTGAAGTGTCCTGGAAAGGTTACAGAAAGGTTATCTGCTAGGATAATGAG